CGTACTCATTTCATGCAATGTGTGCAGTTTTTCTCTGAACTTTACAATTAGGACTCTTGTTAAGTTAAAGGCCATGTCTACACCATACTTAAGGGACGCGGGTAGCGCTGTGGGTTAAACCACAGAGCCTAGGACTTGCCGATCAGAAGGTCGGCGGTTCGAATTTCTGCGATGGGGTGAGCTCCCGTTGCTCTGTCCCAGCTCCTGCCAACCTAGCAGTTCGAAAGCACGTCAAAGTGCAAGTAGATAAATAGGTACCACTCCGGTGGGAAGGTAAACGGCATTTCCGTGCACTGCTCTGGTTCGCCAGAAGCGGCTTAGTCATGCTGGCCACTAAAGCGAGATGAGCGCCGCAACCCCAGAGTCGGCCATGACTGGACCTAATGGTCAGGGGTCCCTTTAGCTTTACCTTTACACCATACTTAGAATTGATGGAGTCACAGAATTGTAGAGTTGGAGGGACCCCATGGGTCATCTTGTTCAACCCCCCTGCGATGCAGGAATCTTTAGGAGACTGCTCACAAAGCTACAATTCTCAGCACCCACAGCAAATTACAGTTTCCAGGATTCTTTGAGAGAAGTCATGACTGTCCAAGTGGCATAGGAGTACTTTAAATATATGGAGTGGATGTGAGCATAGAAGAAGTTGCTTCATTTAAAAGGTCCAGGAGCAGAGCTTAAGTTGATGACCTCCCTCTTGCCCCCGCCGAGTATGTAACTGTCAAGAGAGAAAGGGGGAGTCCCATCAGTGTGGGAAAAAGAAGCAAGTCTCACTGTGCAGAAGCATGTATGCAGGCTTCTGCTAAACTTGTTGAACTACAGGTAGGATTTCCTACCTGATGACCTATATAGGATGTTGGCAGCATTCAGAATTAGCCAGGTGCCGGGCACATTTTGCACCTGGCTATTGGCCACTTACGACCAATTGAAGATGCCTGGGTGCCAGGATGGTGCCTGATGTCTCCACCATCTGGCTGGTGTCTAGCAGCAGGGATTGTGTTGTTATTCTATGGCACGAGTCAGATTTTAGCTGGAGCTGTCAATATACACAATTCATTTTCAGCGTTGTAATGTTGTAAAAGAAGCAGTGGGAGGCACCTAAACATTTTGTTAGTGTGCCTGTAACCTAGGTTTAAGGGGCCGTATGGTGAATAGCTTTTAAATTTCAGTTTCTAACACTGGGTGTTGGATACGGGAGAATTTCCATGGCTGCAACCTCTTGCGTTTGTCATCTTTGAGGTCTACACATGAGCTTATTTTTCACAGTTCCCCCGTCTCAACCTGGGCTGATATGTACAAGATGGAAAGAGAAACAGAGATGCGGATATTCCAGAAAAATAGATGCCGGAAAATTTCTCACTGATTCCAATATCCTGGAAAATATATGATCGGATTAATTCTGCCTGAGCCCTCAGTTCCAGGGAGCCCACTAAGCTAAATCCCACCCTGAGACTAGGAGGTTTCTGGTTCAAGCTCCCGAGTCCCTGACACCCAGGGTATTCCTGATCCTTCTTTGCATTACTTGCATTCAGGTCTTCCTTCTCTCTCTCTCTCTCTCTCTCTCTCTCTCTCTCTCTCTCTCTCTCCTTTCCTTCATTTTGAACATAAATGGAAATATTCCACGAAATGAAGCTGACCCCAGAAAAAGTGACGCGAGCTTTCCACTTCCTGAAGAACAGGGAGTGAAACTGCTGACTGGCCCTAGGCATGTTTTGTTTCCGCCTCTTTCCCTCACCCCATCATTTTCTAACGCAATTTTCAGCAGGAGTTTCCTCCAGCTGCCTCCAGCTGCAACGATCAACTTGTTTGGCTGTAATCAGTCCAGTTAGCCTTGTGACGCGTTAAGTAAATAGAGTTTTAGGTGACAAGATGAATAGTTATTACTCTGGAATCAGCACTTTGGGCAGCAGCATAACAACAAGTAAGATGCAAGTGAGAACAAGGCAGGTTGCTATCACCTTTGTTCTCTGAACACAGTCTGCTTTAGCACAGCATAGTAATGATTTCTTTCTGCATGCTAGAAGGTTATGAAATGAATGGAGAGCTTTTCACCTTGAGAAGAATAGAACCTTTGATAAATTGAACGCTTGCCTATTTGATATCACGTCCGATTGTCAACTTTTTAATCTTAACCATGCACAGGTTAGCTTTAGCAGTTAATGTAGGATGAATAGTAGATAATTCCCTGATTTTGTTGCTTATTATGTGGTGTGTTCCTTTAACTTTTGGCACATTCTGGAATGTACCAAGTAATTGTGGTGTAGCTGCTGATGTATTACGTTTGGCACTGGGAGAGTTCTTGGTCCAAGTCTCCTTTCCAAAGAAGCTCATTGTTTGGGCTTTGACAAGTCACTAATGTTCAGTTTAATCTCCTTTGCAAGGCTATTTTGAGGATAAAATGGGACAACTTGCATATGGTACTCTGAGGTTCCTGCAGGAAGGAGTAGGATATATATATGGTAATCATCTCGTTTGTTTAACAGATAGAAGGCTCCTTCACAGCTACACACAACCGGCCCCTAGAACCACAGTGGCCTGCTGCCAAATCCCATTGCCACAGGGACCATGCTTTATTGCTTCTAGGGAAATGAGAGCCAAGTGGTACTCTTCAGAGAGCCAGGCTTGGCCCAATGGCCTCTAGTTGCTGTCCGCTGGTGTATAGTTTTCACCTTGGGGGGGCTGGTATTGGTCAAATCTGATTTCTCTTTTCCTTCACTCTCTTATTAGGACTCGTACTGTGATGCTGTGCCTGATGCCCCATAATCCCTCTCGACCTCAGGTCACCTCACCCGACATTTCAACTTCCCTGTTGAGTCAAGCCAATATTTCTGTTGCTTGCTCTTACTCGCCCCTGCTCCTTTTTCTTGACATGACCAGTGTTTTCTTCAGCAGCATGTTCCGTGTTCATTGAGTAATCCTGAGGGGGAAAGCAAAGCAATAGTAATATCTTTTAGCTGTTCAAATACTTTCCAATGGTCACACTTTCTGAACCTGGACTGGTTTGTGTTGCAATTCTCAGGAGCAGTAATGTCTCAACATAGGTAGTAGTTAAGCTACTATCACAGTAAGCTCACCCTACCAATAACCAGGAGGAAATAAAAGTTAATAAAAGTTAAAACACATGCTTATTTTCATGTGTTGTTTGTGTGTGTGTGTGTGTGTGTGTGTGTACACAAATAAATGTGAGAATACAGTTGTATATGCACATATGCATATACCCCCACCCCAGTTTGTGCAGAAGTAAAGTTGGCTAAAATGAGAGAAGCCAACTGTGTAGTTCCTTCTATGCATCAGTTGGGTTGAAGAGGAATCATTGCATATTAGCCATAGAATCGTTGTCCTTGCAGAGGATTCTGGGTCCTACTACAAATCCTGAGGGTTTTCTAGTGTGTTTAGCTGTCATGAGTGCACACAGGGGAGTTGAGTGTTGGCAAAGGATGGCATGTAATGGAAATGTATCTTTGTACAGCTTGCCTATCTTTACCATCTTTTTGACTGAGGATTTGCACCGCTTTGCATTCTGTGCTCTTTCTTACTCTAAGGCGGTCAGTTTGTTCTGTGTTATATAATGGGTAAAGGTTCAGTCGTGGACGACTCTGGGGTTGCGGCGCTCATCTCACTTTACTGGCCGAGGGTGCTGGCGTACAGCTTCTGGGTCATGTGCCTAGCATGACTAAGCCGCTTCTGGCGAACCAGAGCAGCACACGGAAACGCCGTTTACCTTCCCGCCAGAGCGGTGCCTATTTATCTATTTAGTGCTTTTGAACTGCTAGGTTGGCAGGAGCTGGGACCGAACAACGGGAGCTCACCCCAACGTGGGGATTCGAACCACCAACCTTCTAATCTGCAAGCCCTAGGCTCTGTGGTTTAACCCACAGTGCCACCTGCATCCCTTCTGTATATGTATACTGTATATGTAGCTTTAATGGCATGATTTCCCAGTTTAGGGTTTGCAGGTTGGAAGTTACAAGTGAGGGCCTGGGGAGGAAAAGGAGATTTATTCCTCTTACCCTGCTTCCCTTCTCTGTTTTGCATGCTTCTGTATGAGTTTACAAATGGAATATTGAGTCTTCCTCCAGTAGCGTATATTGAACATTAATATTTTCAGCGTGTTGCAGTCATTGCAAATAGTTTTCTGTTCTTGTGTTTTAAAAAGGTTGGGTTCATTAAACTGCAGGAACCTTTAAAACATATTCTACTTTTTAATAGTGAGGTCTTTTGAGACCCATCTATTATCCCTTTATATTTGCAAGACTGTAATATATAAAACGGGACGCGGGTGGCGCTGTGGGTAAAAGCCTCAGCGCCTAGGGCTTGCCGATCGAAAGGTCGGCGGTTCGAATCCCCGTGGCGGGGTGCGCTCCCGCTGCTCGGTCCCAGTGCCTGCCAACCTAGCAGTTCGAAAGCACCCTCAGGTGCAAGTAGATAAATAGGGACCGCTTACCAGCGGGAAGGTAAACGGCGTTCCGTGTGCTGCGCTGGCTCTCCAGATGCAGCTTTGTCACGCTGGCCACGTGACCCGGAAGTGTCTGCAGACAGCGCTGGCCCCCGGCCTCTTGAGTGAGATGGGCGCACAACCCCAGAGTCTGTCAAGACTGGCCCGTACGGGCAGGGGTACCTTTACCTTTACCTTTTAATATATAAAACACTATCCTGACTTGAGTCATTATCAAATGCATCTTGTTGAATCCCCCCTCCTGTGATTACAGTATCAGATTTGTAAAAGATCCCTCCCTCCTTGAGTCTAGAAAGGCTAGAACCGAGTAGTAGTTGTTCATGATTTTGTTAGGGTTTTGCCAATAGGGCTAGGAAAATATACTTTGAGATGTGATTATATAAAATTGTCAGTTAAAATACACGGCATTCAAAGCCACAGTTTTGTTTTTAGCATTGTTGCGTTACGTTTTTGAGACTTCACTTTTTTGCTTTCCTGTAGAACTTGCTTCTGTCGAAAGGATCACTGTAACCTATTCTTGCATGTTTATTTCATCTTTTCCCAGGTTCTGATGCTGAGCAGGATGCTGCTATCAAACTTGCCAAAGAACGAGCTGACATAGTTGCCAAGTATGACAGAGTAAGTTTCTTTACTTGTTAAGGCGTCCTTGCGAATGGCTATTCTTCTGTTCTCCTGAGGCAAAAACCTATTGCCACAGGTGAGCAGAAGGCTGGCAAATAAAGATGCCTGCCCCTTTCTTCCTGTCCTCGTGTGCCATTCTTGGACAAACATGGTGATGCCACACTATGTTTTTTTACAAGGAGAGAGGAGGAGCAAAGATTCTCTCCAATTCCACTTTGGAAACAGTGCCTAAATTGCGTCCTCCTCCTTTCTATGTTGCAAGAGAAAAGGCATGGGGAGGGAATATTTAGTGCTTCAAAAGAACATAGGAATTGCTTTGCTGGGTCAAACAACTGATATTATGTTGCCAATCATGCCTAGGCAAATGCCTTTGGGAAATTCATAAGCGGATAGTCTTATGTTAGTTGCAGACATTGTCTGGTAGTTGGAGATCCAGTTTCTCTGAACCTTCATGTTCAGCTTAGCTAATATGAGAAACTTGCGCTGTTGCTTTTTAATGTTCTGTTTTTAGCTGAGCATGATAGGCATCGTTATTACTGGAGAAATGGTAGGAGTGATTGTAGTAGTGGTAGTTTATGATGCTTAAACATTAGAACAATTGTAATGCAGACACATGGGAACAGCATAGACATGGCTGCTATCCAGAGAGCGATGTCACACAAGACTGAATATATGCACTGAGGTTATTTATGTACTCTTATAAAAACAGGAAACAAAAAAAAAAACCATTGCCCACATGGACCCCTGCCCCACTTCTCTAGATGATAGCTGTGTGTGTAGTACAGGGGTCTAAACTTTTTTCAGCAGGGGGCTGGTCCACTGTCCCTCAGAGCTTGTCGGGGGCTGGACTATATTTTTTTGGGGGGGAGGGGAGACGAATTCCTATGCCCCACAAATAACCCAGAGATGCATTTAAAATAAAAGGACACATTCTACTCATGTAAAAACACGCTGATTCCCGGACCGTCCGCGGGCTGGATTTAGAAGGTGATTGGGCCGGATCCAGCCCCCGGCCCTTAGTTTGCCTACCCATGGTGTAGTACATTAGAAATAAGGAATTTGCTCCCGGTTGCAAACTTCAAATCAGTCCTTTGTCTTCCAACATGTTGCACCATAAGTAATGAATGAATTCTTGTCTGTCTGTGTTGTGTGTTTTTCTGTAGGGCCGTGAAGGTGTGCAGATTGAGCCTTGGGAAGATGCAGACTACCACCTTTACAAAGTTACTGACAGATTTGGTTTCCTGCAGTAAGTTGCATAGTTTGGCAAGGGAATTACATTAAAAGTTGGTCTGCTTTTTTTTTTTTATGTTATTCACTTTTATAAGCCTGTCTGGTCAAAGTATTGACTGCTTCAAGTAGAATTGCTTTGCGAATAGTATTCCATTTGGTGAATAAAATTTAAATGGTCTTGCACAGTATTCTTCGGTTATTTATATTCTCCACTTTTCTTACTCTGATTTGAAATTGATCCGTACCTGGTAATGGAAAAGTATGGGCAGTCACCTTTCCTGTGTATAATAGTAGCAGGGAGAAGCTTTGTGCAGCAAAAATCAGGTCATGCTAGATACTTTCTGTAAGAACTAAAAGAATAATTCTTCAGGGGACTCTACAGAGGATGCTTCTGCAGAATGTGCAACTGATGTTTCTTGTCCTCCAATAGAAAATAGTTTTATTTCTTAAGATATATGTCACAAACATATCACAATTTTATGTAGCTAAATTTATTTGCAACAATCATGGGGCACAACAGGGGAATAGTGAAAAATACCATCGCTTTACTACCCAACATCAGTTACAGATGTAAGGTTCCCAGTTGCCTATAACACCTATTAAGAAATTCTGGGATGCTACAGGCTGACATACTCCCTCATTCTCTTCTCTGTCTTTGAAGATGTTTTGTGCATTATGATACTTAAAACCTGCTTTTCAGACTTCAGTTAAAAAGATACATCCAACTGAATAAATAAATGAAATTCAGATAAAAAAACATTGTTTGAATTAAAGGGAAAAGTTAAACTGAAAAGTAAAAGGAGACTATCACTTGTTCATCTCCATTCAGCAAAGTAAAGCCAATTCCTGCTGCTGATGTCAATGTATAACAGCTTGCAGATGTGCATTGCAGTGCACAGCCAGTCCCTGCTGAAGTAGATTGATGCACTTGATGGATATGCTTTTCCCCATCCAGGGCCAGGACTTGCAAACAATGGGGTGCAACTAGAACTGAGGCTTTTGACCAAAACTAGTTGAATTGCTGATCAGTTCAGGCCTCTGGTAACCCTTAATCTGACTTTAGTGGTAGCCTGAGCAAGGTTCACAATGGCTTAGGTTAGCACTCTATTTTAGCTCCCAACAAGAGTACAGGTTTTCCCTTCACTTCAAGGAGAGGTCATGTTATCTAAAACCTGGACCATTCTTTTTAAATCTAGAAGTTACAATCAAACAATTGCTATAACAAAAATTGATGATAGTTTAGACATCTTCTGGAAGTTCTCATCCTAATAGCTATTGTTTGAAACCTTAACATTGTTAAATTTTCTTTAATGATTAAGACAACTTGGAGAGAGGATTCTCTAGCTTGGCCAAGTGTTTATGAATTTACATGAAGATAAGCTGCTGTGTTCATGCTTGTGTGTTTGATTATGGTTTCATTTAGTCCAGTACTGTCTATTGTAACTGGGAAGCAGCTCTTCAAGGTCTCAAGCATGGCTCTCTACTAACCCTGTTACCTTCCAATCCAGTTGGAATCCAGTGGGAATTTGCATTGCACACCTAAAAGCCTTTATGCTAGGGTAACTTCTTAGTTGGCTACCTCTCTGAGTTCCTATATAGGGATGGGCAATATTTGGTTTTCAATATGGGCTTGTCATGGACTTGAAACCAGTTTTGTATTATATATCGCCCTAACACATATCATGATTCGCGATATATTGCCAAGTCAAAAACTATGAAACTGATTATCACGATAAGCACTTCAAACTGGTTTTGGACGATATATCAATATGTGCAAAGCATGTGCCCTGCTGCTTAGCTATGCCCCCTTCCCACTGTGCATGGATGTATAACTGCCATGCTTGTCTGAACAATGTAATGGTGCACTACTGTGCAGCGGCTTTAATTTACAAGTTGGGGTTGAGGAGTCCTTTCGTTAACCATTTTCCCAAGGGAAATTCATAAGTAGAACATTTACACAGAATTTCCATAGAGCTACCAATATTGTGCTACTTAGTGTGCATGAGCCTTGCATATGTCCAGAAAATCTATTTGCATGGACACAAAAGGTTCCCAGTGTGTATGTGTGTTTGCTTGTACATCTTTCACCAAGAGACAGTACTGTAGCTGGAGCACTTGTATTTGATTGAGGCCAGCTAATGCTTATCCAGTTATCTAGGTTGTATGAGAGTTCACTTCCATGTATAAAGGTGAAGGGACCCCTGACCATTAGGTCCAGTCGTGACCGACTCTGGGGTTGCGGCGCTCATCTCGCTTTATTGGCCGAGGGAGCCGGCGTACAGCTTCCGGGTCATGTGGCCAGCATGACTAAGCCGCTTCTGGTGAACCAGAGCAGCGCACGGAAACACTGTTTACCTTCCCGCCGGAGTGGTACCTATTTATCTACTTGCACTTTGACGTGCTTTTGAACTGCTAGGTTGGCAGGAGCTGGGACCGAGCAACGGGAGCTCACCCTGTCGCGGGGATTCGAACTGCCGACCTTCTGATCGGCAAGCCTTAGGCTCTGTGGTTTAGACCACAGTGCCCCCTGCGTGTATACCTTACTGTTAAAACAACCAGTCTGCCATAGACATATGGTGACTTGGGATCTCTTACCAAAGCAGAAAGGAATTGCTCTGCAGGATCAGAGGGGAGATGCACGCATGAGACCTAAATGTGGCGAGAAAAGCTCAAGGCCCTCTTGCTTCTTCCCACACCACTTCAGTACAACATTCAAAACACCCACACTTAACTAGCATATACATCTAATTAAGCAAATGTTCAGAGTTGAAGACCAAGGCTGAAATGTAGGAAGTGGCTCGGGCACAAGCTCAGTAATTGCATCGTTTCGTTTGTATATTTATCTTTATCTCCTTGGAAACTCATTCGAAACTGCAGGACCTCTGCTTAGTGATTTGGTTTCTCAAGCATATAACTACTGCAGGAACCTTTGCTTGTGTCTTGAGGGCATGGCCGCACCAGCTCTACTCAGTTGTTGCTCCCTATACTGAATTTCCCATCACTGTGTTTATATTTTGCTTTCTGCACCTGCCTCAGCATCCCCCAGGTGTGTTTGTGCTGCCACATCTCAAGTGAATAAATTATTTTTATTTATTAAATTTGTATACCCTCCCTTCACCCAAAGATCACAGGGCGGCTCACAACATAAAAATACTAAATGAGAATGCAAAATACCTAATAAACAAAATAACCCCTTTCCCATCAACACGTTTAAATAACCAGAAAATGTTCAGTCAGCCAAAGGCCTGGATATAGAGACATGTATTTGCCTGGCACCTAAAGATAGGTAACAAAGGCACCAGGTGAGCCTCTCTGGGAGGAGCATTCCACAAATGGGGAGCCACCACAGAAAAGCCCTGTTCTTGTGCTGCCACCATCCAGACCTCTTGTGGAGGAGACACCCAAAGAAGGGCCTCAGAAGATGATTGCAGGGTCCATGTTGGTTCATACGGGGAGAGGCGGTCCTTTGAGGCATTGCAGTCCTGAGCCATTTAAGGCTTTATAGGTCAAAACCAGGACTTTGAATTGAGTATGGAAACTAACTGGCATCCAGTGCAGTTGGGCCAGAATTGGCACCACATGCTCAAACTGTCTTTGCTGCGTCTTACCATTTGCATACTCAAATGGCAGCAGGCTGTTTGGATTCCATAAGAAACCCAGACAAGTCAGTTGGCACACTATTGTGGCTGTTCTTGAGTAATTAAATGTGTTTGAGAAGAGGCAAGACAATATACTGCTTGAAGGTTTGAAGCGGCATATTTTGAAGGATGGGTACCATGCTGTTGCTGGGAAGTTAAGGCCTCATTAAGGGGATACTGCATAAGGATTTATAGATTTTCGGCAAAATGTACTTTTTATGTCTGAAAAGGTTTTGCTGTTTGTGTTATGTGTGGAGGCCCAGCAGTTGCATATATTGCTGTGATGTACAGTTGTTGGAAACCACTGTTGCCCATGAGGCGCTGCGTACTGCAACACTTTAATATTGGCTGCTTAGCCCTTTAAAACATTGTAAGCTCAGCATGTTATCTTCTTATCCTATGCAGGCATGTTCAACAGGTAGATTGTTGGGCACCTGTGGTAGATCATGTGATTCTTAGTGATTCCCCCCTCCCAATAAAAAAAGCTCAACAACTTTGCCTGTCAATAGCAATGGGTAGATCACACAGCCAATATTTTTATAATGTGAGTAGATCAGTCTCTTGGGAGTTGGACGTGCCTGTCCTATAGCAATCGGGGAAGGTATATGAGGATTGCTATCTCAGTATTGCAGATGGGGGCGGGTGGGGGGATAGAGAGAGTAAATGAAGGCCAGTCTACTGAGTCTATGGCTTCAGTTGGCCAGCCTATCAAATATTTCCAGTTCTTGTTGGAATCCCATCTGTCTCAAGAGACAGTGGAATGCGCCTCCAGGAGTGAAGTCAAACCACTGGAGAATCACAGCACTTGCTTTCGCTGCAGAGACCAGTAGCTTGTAGCCGCTGCATCCCACATTGTTTTTCCTGTGTTTGCAGCACCAAAGTGACCTCTCCGGGGCACGAGCCTGGCCAGAGTGTATGGAGGTCCTGGGCTGCCCAGACGACAAGACCCCCCCCTTTTGGCCTCAATGGTGTGGTCCAAAGGAAAGGAAAGCAATACATTTGGCACCAGCTTGGCTGCTTATCATTTGACCCTGGTGAAATACTGCCAAATATTCCCACAGTGTCACAGTGCAGTGGTACCTTGGGTTACATATGCTTCAGGTTACATACGCTTCAGGTTACAGACTCTACTAACCCAGAAATAGTACCTCGGGTTAAGAACTTTGCTTCAGGATGAGAACAGAAATCATGCAGCAGCAGCAGCAGCAGCAGCAGGAGGAGGAGGAGGCCCCATTAGGTAAAGTGTTGCTTCAGGTTAAGAACAGTTTCAGGTTAAGAACAGACCTCCGGAACAAATTAAGTACTTAAACCGAAGTACCACTGTATCTTATTCCAGGATGTCAGGACTGGGCAAACATTCGTGTGCTGAATTTGGTAG